CTTTATTCATAGAGCACATTTAAAAACAATCGTTGACCAAAGTGTTTTACAATGGATACAATTATGCACAACCAAGAAAAATAATCATCCAAAACAGCAGAGTTCCTGCTCACAGGTATTCTTAAAAACATCAATACAAAAGGTCTTAGAAATAAGGTCCAGCTTTGTTTAAAGCCTGGACTGATTTAAAATATGATACATACTGTAAATGCCTTGAGCAAATTCAATGGAAAGGAAGAATATCTAACAAATTTTGTAAGATGCTTTGGCTGATGATTTCCATTGCCTGGATTCCATTAAAAAATATTAAAACGAAACAGAAGGAAAGACAGAGGAGATGGAAAGAGAGAGTATTAAAGACAGTAAATGTTCTCATGATGTAGCACCAAAAGCTAGGGCAAAGAGATGGGTTTTAAGCCGGGCTTTGAATATATTTATAGAGGGTGAGGATCTAACTGTTTGTGGCAGGCTGTTCCACAGTTTCGGACCAACAACTGAAAAAGCTCTGTCACCTCTGATTTTTAACTTTGTAAGTGGGATGGAAAGCAGTGATTTGCCAGTGGATCTGAGGGGACGAGAGGTGGAATAGGGAGTGAGGAGTTCTGAAATATAATCTGGTGCTGGTTCATGCAGTGCTTTAAAAACAAATAAAAGAATCTTAAAATCAATCCTATACTTTACAGGTAACCAGTGAAGCGAGGCCAATACAGGGGAAATGTGATCACTTCTCCTGGTACCAGTAATGAGTCTTCCTGCTGAATTCTGAATGAGCTGCAAGCGTGACAGAGCTGACTGGTTGATGCTGGTATAAAGGGAATTACAGTAATCTAATCGGGAGGAGATGAAAGCATGTACCAGAATTTCTAAATCTTTTACGGACAGAAATGAGTTTTGCAATGGATCTTAGATGGAAGAAGCTTGAGCTGACAACTGAGCTGATCTGTTTATCAAATTTAAAGCCAGAGTCAAAGATGACACCAAGATTCTTTACATGAGATTTTAAATGTGAAGACAGAGGACCAAGAGCACTGGTAACAGAGGCAGAAATGTCTGTAGGGCCAAAGATAAGGACCTCCGTTTTGTCATGGTTCAGCTGGAGAAAGCTTCGTGCCATCCAAGATTTTATGTCATTGTCATAGTGAATTAATGCTACAAGGATCTGATGGTTTCAAAGGGAGGTACAACTGGAAATTATATGCATAACAGTGATAAGATATATTGTATTTCCTTAATATAGAGCCTAATGGAAGCATGTATAGTGAAAATAAAATTGGGCCTAAAATGGAACCTTGAGGAACACCATAGAAGATGGGGGCAGAGGGGGAGTACACATTACCAATTTGGGCAGAGGCTGAGCAGCCTTGGAGGTCATCTGATTGTACAATGGGAAAAGATGACAAAGAAAGAGATGATGTAGGGTGTTTGTGCTCTGAATTGAAGTTCAGAGGAGTTCAGAGTACTCTGGCAAAAACGCCAGGCGCTTAAGAGTCCAGAAACCCGAGGTGTGTCGTAACTCAAAAACTGCGAGCAAAAAGCTTCATTCACATTACAAACAATAATTATAGCTGCTGCACAGCAATGGTCGGGGCAGGCAATTTTAGGCAAAATTAGGCAAGATGAAAACATTTTTTAAAATGTAAAAGTAGCTATTGGATAGACTCTGCATATTGACTGATAGCTAAGCCAAATAAACAGGGAAAAAAGACGAGGGATAACAGGGAAAAGTGTTGATGAGGAGTATTTGTCTCTCCGCAAAACTGCCTGGATCATAATTATTTTACCCTTAGTAGTCTCTAATCCACATAGCATGATGCCTGAACATAGGACTTTCACATTAGAATGTCCGTTCTGCCTCAGCTGAGGCTTGAACTCACAACTTCTGAGACTAAGGTCTGTCTTCTATCTCACTGAGCTAATTGGCAAGTGACAGTTCATGTGTGGTTTCACAAATTGACTAAGCCAAGCATCAGGGTGCCAGACAGTAGCCATCCATACCATGGAAAAGCAAATTTCAGAGTGAAAGTTCCAAAGCTGTAGCACATATGGTTGATTTGTTATGAATTTTTGAAGAAGAAGAAGAACATGCAGGATAACAATAGGGTCCTGGCAGCGTGGGCTGCTCGGCCCCTAATAAAAAGCCACCTCCAGCTGCTAAAACACTTTCTGTGTGATCCCCTTGTTTTAGTATTTATAAGCAATATTTTTGCATTTTCATTAGCTTTAAATCAACTGTGGTGAAACTCATCCATAAAAGTAGAATAAAGTGCTGATTAAGCTGTTTTAAACTTGAATGCCATGTGGATGCTAGGCGCAGCGCTTCTCCTAAGGCCCTCTCCTCATTGGGAACATTCGAAAAAAGATGCCTGTGCTGGGAAAAAATAAAACGCTATGTGGACAGAGGTCCTTTAATGCAACATTTTGTCAGGCTGGAGATAGGAGGTATGAATCTTAAAGATATAAACTGCCTTAGAATGAAAGTGACCACTTGAAATATCTAGTTCAAGGGTATTCATTAGTGAAATATTATTATTATTATTATTTTTTGTAATTATTATTTTTTTAGTATAGCAAAGGGCCGCAGGTTGGATTTAAACCCATGGCCCCTGCGGTAGGGACAATGCCTTTATACACAGGACACCTGCTCTACCAACTGAGCCACTGGGCACCCCAAATACTCTTCATTTTTAATGTTTTATGGGAACATTTGTTAGCAGAAAGTGGACAAAATACTAAAAAACAAACAAACAAAAATCCACGTACGTACCTTATATACCGAATAATACAACTTACACAGATATACCCAAAATAAATTAACAGTTTGTACTCAAGGCACGGCCTCCATGTTTGACTTGGACTTGAGAATCAAAGGGATGAAAACGTGGATTTTAAATACACACCCTATTGTGTACAGGCCTTTTACAGAGAGCACACACTGACACGTCACAGCAGGAAAATCCCAGGTGTAAATAAATGATTGACGGCCGAAATCCGTTTAGCTGCCACAGTTTGGTCCTGGTGTTGGGCATGCTCACACACTGTTAGAACTCACTGGGACATTTGAGTTGCTCATGTTATTAATTACAGCTGTGCTGTTGCTGCTATGACAAGTCAAAATGCTGTTTAAAAAAGATGATAAATGTGTATCCTCTGCGACTAAACTACAGTCTGCACATCCCCACATTGCCCTCAAGAGTAGGTCTCATCAGGCACAAGTGAAAACACCTATTTATATATGATGCAGGGCACCTTTGGGAGCTTTCAGGTGATCCACAAGAGGGAGCTGTGAGCTGCTTGTTCCTCTTCATCTTCATCATTAATCCAGAGATGCAGAGATGGACTGACTTCAGCCTCACACAGATTTAAAGCCACGTGTGTTTCTGTGTTTATTTATTAGGGTAACATCTCTATAAAGTTGTCTCTATGATGCCCAACAATTCAGTATATTCTAACCTCACATAAAAGGTGTTTAAAACTTATTGTTGCCTCTTTATTGTGTTTAAATCACCACCACAGGAAACGCATTTACATTTTCTCCTTACTGTGCATCACACGTGAAAACAGCTCCTGATGATGAGCAGCTGTTTTCTGTATGAAGTGGATGAGCATGTTAACATCCAGTCTCTTTCTGTCTCTATCAGGGCCGATCGGGGAGGGAGGGGGGCGCTCTGACCTCTCATGCTGCATTCAAAGCTGCTCGAAAACATGAGTTACATCTATATATTGAGCATGGGAGGGATTTTCTAATACACAGGACAGCTAATCCGAGGATTACACTAAAAATAGACACATTAAACCTGTTTCTAAATATTATTTGATGTAGTTTGGAGCCCAAGAAGTCTTAAAATATAATGTATTCTATCTATTATTATCTTCATTATTATTATTATTGTATTTTTTTTTATAAACTGTGCTAAAATTTTGTTGTTTCTGGGGGTTTTTTGTAAACATTTTTACAGATGTTGCCTGCACCTTGGTACCAGAGTTCAGTGGTAGCAGAAGTGTGCAGATATATGACTTAAATAAAAAATATAACAAAGTAAAAATACTCTGGTACAAGTAAAAGTCCAACATTTACTTAAGTAAATGTAAATTTAGAAAGTAAACTGTAAATGACTGATGCATTAACATATGAGCATCTTTTTTTTATGGTAGTTGGTCGAGGTGATTTTAAATCAACAATCAGATCAAATTATGAAAAATCAGTTTTTTTAAATTAGTGAATTTGCATTAAAATAGGATGAAATATTCCCACTAGATTTTATTTCATTTTTTGTATAAAAACAACAACGAAAAACTGAACTGAATAAATAAAAATGAAATAAGATTCAATTTAAAAAAAAAACAAAAAAATAAAATGAAAATAAATAAAAAGATTTACATGCCAGATTAAGATTGCACGATTCAAAGTAGAATATTTTCAATGGACAATTTACTTACAGTTTCTTATTTTATTCAATTCAATTCATTTTTATAAATAAATACAACATAAATAAATGCACAGAATAAAACGGAACTCATTATAAAAGTAATAAATAAATAAGGGAGGGGATAAGATATCATTCATTCATACTCATGCATGCGCACATATGCACACTCAAGCAGTGCCAACATATGCCTTGAACAAAAACTACGTTAAAAATGATTGCACATAAAATAAATAAATGAATTTTAAAAGCTGCTTCTGTTTTGTATGAACACTTTATCAACAAAAATGTAGTGGAAGAAATATAATAAAATAGAATAAAATGAAATTTAATAAATAAATACAGTATGTAATACTTATTAATACTTCACATTTTGCTGATAATACATATGTGGTTTGTATTAAACTTAAAAAAAACCTTTTAAATATAAATGCAGTATTTTTAGACTGTTATTTCTATTTTTGTCACCTCTGCTTCAGCATAAATCCCTGTTTCATAGGATGACTGTAAGGTTCTGGTTCTTGATGGAGATCTTTTCCGAGCTTCCAGGCGGTCCCTGAAGGCAGCACCCTCCTCATCCCGGGTAAACGGCGTCACAGCCGCGATGTGTCATTTCGACGGATAAATTACCGCTCGTCAAAGCCGTCCCGTCTCCTCTGCTGTTCCAGAGCCAGGATGTCTGCGGACGGCCGTTAGCTAGTTAAATCCCCGTGTATTGTACACCTCTTCTTTAACACTTCACTCGCTCGGTTTCTAATTAGGACGAGGATGATATTTCCAGCGGGCAACATGTCCCTCATCGCGTCGGCTCTGGCGCTGCTCACCGTCGTCCTCTGCACTTCTCAGGGTAAGATTATGGAGCTCCATCCAGGCCGCGCACCGCCTGCTAACGGTTTAACTCCACAGCCCTGCTAACGGCTGCCCCGCGTGCGTGTTCCTGATTTATCACAGCCGTTAATGATGGCGTGTGTTCCATGTAACGTCCTGTAGCGGCCACAGCGTGTTCTCATGATGCTCCCCGGCTGTTTACTTTAACCTCCATGTTTATTTCAGTCCTGGTAACTGTCACCAAACCGTCACTTCATAGTGTCTGTCCTCACTGATGCTGGGAGCCATTTGTTCACCACAGGGCTCCAGCTAACTACTGTGTTCCTTATCGATCAATCTGCTTATCGATTAATCGTTTGGTCTTTAAAAATCATTAGAAAACAGTGAGAAAAGCCTGTTAATTATATCCTAGAGTAGTTTATGTGCCACATACAGCCCAGTTTGATATCAAGTGGGCCACACGAGTAACACCACAGTATAATAACCTATAAATACACTTGTTTTACTGTAAATAAGTAAATTTATAAAATGTTATTTAATTTATAAAATAGATAAGGAACAGCCTGAGTTGTCTTAAATAAAAGACATGTAATTTCAATGTGGTACCGCCACACCAAATTGGAAGTTATTAATGAAGCATGTTAAGTTACCCGCTGCCTTACAAACCATTCGCAAATTTAAAGTTTTGGCAGGGCCTCAGCCACCATATTATTTTAGGATATAAGTTTGATACAGATTCTTTTTGACCTAAGCTGCTGATTGACGCTATTTTTGCACAGTGATCAGTATCGTCCCAAAAGTACAACATATCCAGATTGATCTCCAGATTCCTCTCGTCTCCCTAAACTGTGATTATAAACATGTATGCAGTTTTTTTTTCATCACATTTTAATTAAATCTGAAACTTAAATGTGAAAGTTAATTATTTTCACTCAGGACCTTTAACCTATTAAAGGTACAGTGTGTGAGATTTAAGGTGATTTAGTGCCATCTAGTGGTGAGGACTGCACATTGCAACCAGCTGAAACTTAGTTACAATTCCTCCAGTGTTTATTGGAGGTTTTCACGGGAGCCAAATTATCCACAGATAATAGTCCATGGAGACCATGGTCGTTATTAACATTTCATTCTAAGGTAACAAAAACATGACTGGTCTTATTTTCACGTGATTGTACTCTAAAGGAAATATACTTATTGTATTATATTCCATTTCTGCCAATTATATGCCCCTAAATCCTGCACACTGGACCTTGAAGGGAAACTTAAGGTGTCTTAGTTTACAGGTTTGACTATAAAGTCACTGCACAATGCAAGGGGGTGCTGGTAAGCTTTAGTTTTTACATTTATGTCTTTATCAATTAAAGCTCAAAAAGAACATAAATATAATGTGATCAATATCTTTAAATATGACCCCAATGAGTTGTTTTTTTTTGTTTTTTTTTAGAGAACTGTATTCTAGTCAGGTTTAACTCCTGAAACCTGGCACCTCTTAGCCTTCACATGTGCATCAATATTAAGTGTGCAAAGTCATTCAGAGGGCCAGACTGGACCCTTTGGTGGGCCGGTTCTGGCCCACGGGCAGTATGTTGTGGCACTACTGCTTTATAGCCTAAAGTGACTTCTTCAAATATCTTGTTTTGTCCAACCAACGTTTACAATCCTGAAAATGTTAAACTTACTATAATATAAGACCGAGAAAAGCAGCACATCCTCCCATTTGAGAACATGCAGGTACCACACTTTGGGCATTTTTGCTTGAAAAATGACTCATGTTTGATTGATTATCAAATAGTTGCAGATTAATTTTCTGTCCACGAAATAATCCTTGTTTTTTGAAAAGGAAACTATAGTTTCCCTGGTTTTTGTGTGTGTTTGTTCAGCTAAACTGTTACTATTTTATTAATCTCTCAAGACAGATTCTGCAATTTACATTGTAAAGGAAGAACTTTTTTTTTTTAACTGATGGATTTCCAGATTGCTATTTTATTAAAAAATTTTTTTTAAAATTTTTAATTAAATAGTAAAAAATAGATAGATAGCTAATATTGTGTATATTGTTAACATTACGGGTGGGGAAAAAATCGATACAGCTTAGTATACAGTAATTTGCATGGCAGTAGTGCATCATACTTGGCACCTGCCAAGTATTGATTTTTTTTATTATAGGAATGATTAATGTTGCAAATACAAATTAAACATTTGGTAACCAACTAAAATAATAAATTTGTCGTTTTTCAGTCCACAAGATACATTTTGTTGCAATAAGTATTTTTAAAGGGAGATGAACAGACTGAATACTTTATCTTATTCGATAAAACAGATGTTAAAGTTTTCCTTAGGGGGCATGATTTGCAGTTGACAAAAATGTAATAAAATAAATTGCAATATATGTTATCGCAGTACTCAGGATATCACAAAACATTTAAAATCGCAGTAGTGTTTGTGTATTGTGGTTTAAATATTAATATCCTTAATATCCTAACCTGAGTTAACATTAGCCTGACAATAGGTTTCGGGATAAACAATATTATTATTTAATTTAACGTAATTTAATTTAATTGTTTTTTATTGTTTTTTGTTTTGTTTTTTGTTCAAGAATGAAAGTACGGTACAAAAATGCCTTTATTTTCCAACACAATATTGCCTTAAACACTGTTTGCCTAAAAAAGATAGGCTAGTCATTACAAGGCAATATGTACAAGACAGTATTACAATAATATCAGACAAATAGTTATTTTGCTTTTATTTGACTGTTATTTGACTCTTAAAAGTTAAGAGGCCACAGCAGTTTAAAACTTCTACTACACAACAATAGATTTTATAAATAATATCAAGACTTAAATCAAATGGCACAATAAGAGTTCTTGATGCCAGCTCTCAAAGGTCAACATCCAAACTTCATCCAAACAGTTTCACCAGCCAAGTCTTCATAGATTTTGGCTCCACGCTGCAGATATCCTCTAATGGAGTTTCCATTAGTTTAATACACTTCGAGGAATCATCGGTTCAACAAACAAGTGTGGCTCTCTGAGGACAAACATGCTGTTTAATTCTCAGTATTCAGTCAGGTCGTATTGGGAAAGATACTTTATGTGCGTCAGTGTTCTCCCAGATGTGAGAAAACAAAGGTCAGTGTGACTTTTAGCAGCTTGTGCACACGTGTGGCTGTTTTCACCAGGCTGTAATTTAGTGTGCCTGGAATTCTATGTTATGGAAAACATAATGAGGCCAGCTCCTTCCAACTCAATTTAGGACTCGCTATGTATTTATTCTGATGACCGACAGTATGCTGAATGTTTCTCAGTGAGTGTGTGAAGTTTAGTCTCTAAAGAAACACCACAGATCTTTGTTTTATTTCTGGCTTTTGGAAAAAGTTGATCATGTGAACTTGTACTATACAGTGGCCAAAAATAGCAACTTTTATGATAGTGGGTTTGATTGTTTAGGTCATTTTGTCAAGCAAAAATGCCAGTTTTTGGACTTTTGGTTAGACAAAAAGACATTTAGGGCCTTTTGATGCTCAAATGATTAGTTGGTTGAAAAATAATTGTTTGATGATGAAAATAATCCTTAGTCACAGCCCCAGAATTAATACCTGGACTTAAAAAAAAAAAAATCAGACATTTAAATCCAAGGTACCTTACTCCACCCCTAATCAGTTTTCAACCTCTGCCACAGTGAACCGCTGAATAATGCATTACGGCTGTGTTTGGCCTGGAATAAGAAAGAAGAGCCAGTACATTTTCAAAATAAATATTTATTTTCTCCCCAAGGCAGAACAAAGCGGTGTCTGTAAGTGAGCGAGCACGTCAGAATGTGTGATACAATAGAAGCAACAGCATGTCGGCAAATTTGAGGATAATAAATTCTTCAGAGGACAAATTGAAGTCCGACCTGCTGCTTCCTTCGTTCTCTTTCTCTCTGTACTTCTTTTCATTTTGATTGTCTTCCTCGTAGTGTCACGCCGCCTCACACTTTGTGTTTTTGTTTCGCAGTCAGTGGGAACGAGGACTGTCTGTGGTACGTGGACAAAAATGGCACCTGGCACAATGGCTTTGACTGCCCTCTCATCACGTTCTGCTGTGGGAACTGCCACCGACGCTACTGCTGCCTGGACGCCTTCAAGATGATCACAGAGAGGGAGCAGAAGCGCTGCATGCTCTTCCAGTTCAGGTAGGAGCAGCTGGGTTTTAATTTAATGACTTATTTATAAATGTACTCGACACCAAGAGTCAGTGTTTGTGTTCACAATTCAAGGCCATCACTGCAGGGATCACGTATCCTCCATTTTCCAAAGGCGGACTTTAACATCCTGCTGGAGGAAATTTGTAGCCACAGTCTGTACAATGAGATGCACCCTTGAGCATCTGTTAACTGAAATCCATCCATACAAAGTACACACTGTACTACACTAAAACAATTCAACAAAGCAAGAGCCTTTCAATTACATCACTGTAATGGATTGATCCCCACAGTGTAATATGTTCTCATTAGTCCTTCTCTCACATCAGCGCTCCCCTGTGAGTGGTTGTGATAATGCTGGACTAAGCAAGCCCGTACCTGAGAGACTGCACCATGGCACTTTCCCTCCACAGCACTGGAAACCATCCATCACCATCCAGTAGCGAGCAGACAACCTGCAGCTTATTAAGCCCAGTGGGAGATCAGATCAGTGGGCGGCGGAGGCTGAGCTGAAATGGAGGGCTTTGTTGCTTCACCGAGACGATGAGGTGATGGGATGTGGTGGAGAGAAACAGAGAGAGACGCAGGGTGTACGTCATTAATTCTGATGTGATTTCAGGGTCAGTCTGTGTTAAACAGCCCGACTGAATCAAAAGCTTCACATCACAGCCATCTCCGCTTTAATCCCCTCTAAAGTGAGTCGTAATTAGCGTGATAGAGGGGGAGGAACGACGCGAGGCGAGATGATCAAAGCAAGAAAGGAAATGCTTTGTAACTTAAGCGCTTGTCTGTTTTCTCCTCTCAGCCCCACCACTTTAGCCGGCATCGCCTCCTCCATCCTGCTGTTTGTGGCCATCATTGCGACCATGGTGTGCTGCTTCATGTGCTCCTGCTGTTACCTCTACCAGAGGAGGCAGCAGAGGGGCAGGACACCTTATGATGGTGAGACCTCCACTCTTTACGTCCAAGCATTTACATACGAGTCTATAGTTTCCCTTCACAGCTGTCTGTACTTTTTGACCCACAGCCCAGCAGATCCCCATGGCCAGCTATCCAGTGGAGCCCATGTATGACGCCTATGGAAAACCACTGGGAACCTCTGACTATCCACAAGCAGGTTATCCAATGGCACCCCAGTACCCTGGAATGCCTCCACAGTACCCTATGATGCAGCCTGGACCTTATCCACCACACCTGATGGACCCTGCATACAACCAGGGTAAGCATTAGACATTATTTCCACATTTTTTATCTGCACTAACAACCAAAAAACTCATCTAAAAAAGCTCAAACACACACACATGCACATAAATCAATGTGCCAATATCCTGTCTCAATTACAAGCTCTGTTACTTGCCTTTGGGACAGTGAAGTGGCCCCTGCTGGAGCCAATATACACAGGAAGTGCGTCTTGTGTCTATTAGGGCCTGTGTGCACATAGCGCTTTCTTTGGTAGAGAGCCAGTGGTGGCAGGGCACTGGGGAGTGCTTCATAAAAAACTACTCCCAGCAATTTTTGATGAGGCGACATTAACGGAGGGTTGTTTACACAGCTAACAAGCTTGTACAAGATACCAGCGTATATGTACGGGGATAAAAGCACTCACAAGCAATATTGAGTCCAGCTGATATTCTTCCACAAATGAGCCTCTCTGTCTCTGTTATGGTAGTTTTTGTCTGACATATAGCTCAGAGAGACAAAGCGGCAGCCTCTGAGGATGAAAAATGAAGCCAACACAGAAGTGAAACGGTTTTGGTTTCTATAGCTAACTACCTCATTAACTACAGCTGTACGGGGGTAATTGTTATATAACTCACCTCTTTACATTTTATTAAGGATTAAACTTACATATAATTAAGGGCATGCCACTTCGAATGACAGGCTGTCTGCTGATAGTGTCCTGGGGTCTCATTTATAAACATTGCGTACACACAAAACGAGGCCTGAATGAGGCGTACGCCACTTCCCAAGCAAACATTGTGATCTATAAAAACATACTTGATGGGAGAAACTTTGACCCATGCTTACAAACATTTAAGAGATGAGAAATTGGCGACACAGATAGTGAGGTGGAAGCCTGATAGTAGAAATTGTCATTGCACACACAATTTTTGGCTTTTGTTCGTATGTACACTTTTAGTATGGATCCTATGCATTGTTTTATAAATGAGACCCCAGGACTCAAGGCTTCAGAACAGGAGTCCACAAACTAGTGGGCGATGTCATGGTAGCTACGTCCAGTCTATGGGATAGACACGGCCCGAGCAAGCTTATCCTCCATTCCCTTGGTTACCAGAGTGACAAGTCCCGCCTCATGTGATTGGTTTCCTGAAAGCGCCTTGTCTGGAGGACACAGCATGCAGCAGCATACACTCTCACCTCATTGGGAACAATCAAAAAAGAAGCTGGTGCCCAGAAAAAAAACGCTCTGTGGACACACGCCCTTACCCTGCTAACGGCAGGAAGTAAGAACAGTGATGTTGGTTTTTTAGATCACAGATTGCCATAAAATCTGTTTAAGGATATCAGTGTTTCCCACAGGATTTTGGGAAACTATGAAGAAGAAAATTTTGAACATTGTAAATTGAAATTGAAATGAATTTGTATACAAAATGTACAGAAAGGTAAAATCATCAAGTTTTGAAAAAGTATTGCAATTTCATTTTGTCTTTAATTTTATTATCTTATATTATCTTTGTAATATGATTATCTTATATAATGTTATTACTATCCTAAAACATTCTCCAGGTCCTCTGTAACTCTGCAGGACTTATTTCCACCCTGCCCAGCAGCAGTACCGTGGCGAACGGTCCCTAACTGCGGGGAGAACGGAGCAGGCTTCCCCGGAGGTCCGCCGCTTTTCCCGGTCCCTCTTCTCCACACTTTGGGCTCTAGTTTCGCAGACCGGGTGAGGCGAGGGCGCAGCGCACCTGCGCTTCGCCAACTGGGTGTGGCCAGGTAGATTTTGCAAGTTTGGCACACC